TTGCAGGTTAGCGAAAGCTAAATTCTTTCCTAAATGGGAGCTCACGCTGCTCTGACGAACAGACCACCCCAGTTTGCATATGAAGACCCACATCATTTACTTCACTGGTTCTGTCTAGCCCAAACGTTCCAAGGGGGATTGGCTGGCAGCGAAAGACGATACAACACCCTTGATTGATTATGTGCGATACAGAATCGCTACTCTGAAGAAGATTATCGCCTTCCAGTTGCTGCACGTCTATGACCCGTAGCCTGGAATATTCAGATAACGCATCTAGGATGAATTTTGAATTAGTGAGCCTATTAAAAATTTACTATTTGGCGTCAGAATTCAGATTGCCTCATTAACAACGCCTACAATTTCAATACTCTTATCACTTTTCAAGTATCCCGAACGGTATTTCTGAAATCTGATTAGAAGCTGAGAGATGCAAACCAGGTAAGAGAAATTGAAGGTAATAGCAGTGCCTCTCGGTCTGAACCACTAATTCCCTGATAGAGTCGGACAAGCGATACCTTGGCTTTCCGAGACGCACCCTGCAGAATCTGTCCAACGTTAGCAAATTTATTGCAATCAGTATGTAATTCTCTATTCCATTTGGTGGAATTCGTCGCGCGGACAAACCTCCACGACTAAGTCAGGCTACTTCAAGACCGATACTCGCAAGGGCTGCTGACAGTTTCCATCCCGTTACCGTCAATAATCAAGCGGCACAAGCTATCTCTATCGGCCTAAGCTAACCGATTTTATTACACGCTCTGGCCAATAGAGTGGACTAGCAGATGATGGCGCATTGGCTCTCAAAGCCCAACGTGTTTCGGCCGTGAGTTTTATGCAGTGTGTCGTCGGGGGCCGAGATAGTGTTGTTTTGCGCATAACGTTCGCTAGGATCGGACGTGCTCTATATCCGCTAAGTGTCATATGCGCACTTTACTCTAAACCTGGCTGGCTATTGTCTTATGAAATTGTCACCGTCAAGGCTTCTGTATCACGGACGTTACATCAGAGATTTTATAAGTAACAGAAAAGAATGTGAGCACTGCATAAGGTGTGGCATAAGCCAGAGAGGAGTCTAGTGCTAAATTGTCTTAAGCTCAAGTAGTCAATGAAACAAGCAGACAAAGAGTTTTCTTTATGAGCTCTAATCTTGGCGATTGCCCAATCAACTGTTCCCCTCGTCGGTACATCAGAGGACCTGCCCGTAATTTTAACCGCTAATCAAGGTCCCGTTATCCAGACCTAACTTTTCATATGAAATTCATATTGTACAACGTCTTGCTAGGGAGGACGGGAATAATATCTATCGAGTACAAAATGGTTACATCTCTATCAGCACGGATAATGAAGGCCTATAATGTTATAGCTTTACTGGCCTCACAACTAGACTCGGCACTTGGTTAAGCAAGGAGATCTTACGCTAGTGTTAACGACATCTGAATTGCTGGTGCCACCTTACTGGCGTAAGCTTACATTTTCTAAATGAAAGGTTAGCGGCAAGGGATGCCTGAGTATCGCAGTTCAACAAGATACGTCGTAACGTCACTGCTTTCTCTTCACTCCTGTTGGACTCATCATGGGAACGTGCTTCCATAAAACGACGCGTCACAAGCCTGCAATTCATCTCACAGCGTGTCCGAAGAGCCGATTTGGGAAGTCTACAAGTATTATCTAGCGAATCCTGCTAGGGCTGGCCTCTAAGTGCCCATTGGTAAATTTTGACAACAAATTAGGTTTAAATTACTATTAATCTTCAAGGCTGGCAAATAGTTTTAGCAGTACTTCATAGTCATAAACTTAGTCGAGATGTAAATTTAATTTGGTTCTATTCTATTCTAGCGGATCATAGTCTCTGTGACCATTCAATTCTCCAAGTCCCTCATGGTCTAACTCAGCAGGGACTACGATCAAATTCTCATCTATTCTTATGACCACAGCTAGCCTCAGGATACATTCTCACGACGATATGAATTAATAGGAAAGACTGCGCTAAGGATTGATATAAAATTGAACGTAATATTTCGATTCTTGACCACGAGAGTTATATACTAAAGCCCCTAGTGAATCATGATTGGAGAACCCATTATTCTTTCGAGGGAATATAAAATTAGTCTGAAGAAGATATGATGCTTGTAAATAATTTATTCTACTTGGTTTGGACTTGATTTCATTATCCTGATTTGGCGCCCTATGGGCCCATGCAGAGGACGTGAGAGGGGTCAGGACAAGTTTACAAGACGACACAGAAGAGGGATACATTCTCGACGGGCGTGAAATTTCGAATTTTGGCAAGAGTTTTACGAATCGAGCTTTGTGCGCGCCAAGACTTCGCTTGCGAGAGTGCAGCTAACACTGTAAACACAAGCCGACGATGGAAGGTGTTGTGGTCCGCCTCCTGGTGGTGTTCTCTGGTATGGTTTGAGTAGCCTGGGCACCTACTCCACTTGAGAAGGAGACACCTCAGATCACATATCGCGCGGAAAAAAGTTGAAAGATGATGGAGGCATGTCTGGATAACTCAGGGTTTTTGAGACGTTCCCCTGGGTGGGTATTTACGGATGAGGGTTGACTTGGGGTGAAGAAAAAGCAACCATAACTTCGCAGTGGTACTTGCAAATGAAATCTGAGGTATGAGTGCTCCTCTTGTAAATTGAGTCATCTTTTCTGTACTTTTCTTTGATATTGTGTCATAGCTAGATAGCTGCATACGCAATTAAAATCTGATGCAAAAAAAAGGGCCCATGCAGATGTCTACAAACTGTAATATATACATGAGAGAAAGCTTTCTGGTGAGCCCTCGAAACCTTTCTATTTATTGTATTGGCTTATCCAATCTATCCTTTTGGGAGGTACAGTAACACTGCACTGCCATTCAAATCAACCTACCACATTATGTTGACCCTAAGAATTGCTTGTCCTGCACCATTCCTCATCGGCATTTCGACTCCCTTTGTCGCCTGGAATCGTTCTCTCCAACTTTGATTCAAGATCCACTGAGTACTTCTCTTGATGCCACCAGGATTATTTATCATGGCTTCGTAGCATCGATCCTTGGATTATCACTAAACCTCTTCTCTATCATTTGACCATCGAGGGTAGGACATAATCACATGCTGGGAGTTCTGCGATTGGTAGCCACTTGGATAGCTTGGGATGTAGACCATGGGTACTTTTCTGTAAAAATACGAGTTGAGCCCTAGGTGCGACATGAACGGATCACTATTTTTAATTCGATTTCGTTTAGTCCGTTCAGGTACTCTGTGGGCCCATGCAGGTATGCCTAGCTATAATATTTACAGAGGAGACCAACTCGGTAGCAACCTCTAAAGACTCTCTGTCTCATTTACACTGGCTTTCCTGGGATTTCCTGACGGAAGTGCGTTTACACTGTTTACACAGTGTGAATTCCGTCTTATCCTTGTCCACATCGTCTCATCTTTTCGTCAAATACTATTTCTATTTCTCCTGCAATCCGGAATTGTTCAAATCATTCTTTTACCAGGATCCATTTTGTAATTGTCTCCATATCATCTAGGCTGTTCATCATTGCCGCAAAGGGCCTATTTTTTGCCTGTCGGAGCACCTCTCCTCTTCTTATTGCCCACTGAGAACAGGCCAAGGCAATATGTATGACATTTTGACACGGATATCCACATTGAGATTCAGGGTTAGCCACTACGGGAACTTTCTTTCGATACAGATAAGAATTGAGACTGGTGTGCGAACTTTTTATCTGAGATGTGATATTGCTTTTGGCTCGGCTAATATTCCGGTGGATATTTGAAGGTGTGTCACTGTAGGTAATATTTTTTTTAACTCTGGTCTTGACTATGACAATGTTCGCAGCTTTCCAATGAATGAATGGATTATAATTATTACTTATAAATTAAAGAGTGCTGTGCGCGCCAAGCCTTCAAATTTGACAGCGCAGGTGACCGTTTTAATATAGACCTGGCTGGATGGTGCAGCGGGCTATTGTCCAGGATGGTCTTCCAAGTATAGTCTCTACAGACTGGACACCTATCCCGCTTGAAACAGGGCCTCACTCTTTCAAACCAAGAAGTAATTAATCATATTTCCTGCGCTGTGGGTCTATATGATATTGGCATGCTTGTATCTCCATAGATTTTGAAATTTCCGTTCTGTGAGCAGTCACGTTGGAGTGCTATTCTGTGTAAGTGAATATATTTAAAAGTAGTGCTTATTACTGAAAAGTATTAGAGTCATTGAAATCATAGGTTATGGGCCATAGCTATATAGTAAAAAACAAAATAATTGATATCCAGAAAGAGTCGATCCAGGAGTAGACAAGTCAAGCTTTTAGGCTTGGCGTACATCTACGTCTTCGGGTCGCTTGTTTACATTAACAAGTTGGCAGCAGTTAGAGTTTACCGGTGAATTAGAGGAAAGTGATGGCTACTTTCTAGCGTTGGAGATATGTATGTTCAGCCGATAGTGAACCGGCCTCGAGAATCTCTCGGCTATCTGTCTTGAAAGGTAGACGACCCGCGAAAGTAAAAGGGCAACTCAAGGAATGAGGAGAAACGAGTGTAGAATTATCCGGAAACTTATTAAAACAAGAGTCATACGCTCTGAACAAAGCTACTATTAGTGTTAGGAGATACCAATTTGTGGTACAAAAAAAGAGTTTCCTTGCTCATCTCCTGAGTACTTAGACAGTCCTCTCGGGGATTTGATCTTCTCTCGAACGAATTCTCGACTTTTTTACACTTGCTTCACGCTCCTTAGCCATGTGTACCTTTAAAAATCAATGAATTATGTAGAATAATCTTGATCCAAAGAACATCGCTGCTGCAATCAACCTGGGACCGGGCGCTAATCAGGTCTTAAGGACAAAGAGCTAGTCATTGAAACTTTCAAATACCTTGAAATTTAAATTGAAGTTCTTTTCGTTCTAATAAGAGAAATGAAGTTGAAATCGTGAGTAGCAGACTATTTTGGCAAGAATTATATCGCGAAAGAATTATGAACGATATTTGGCATTATGCTGGCACCTCGTGAGCCACGATGAATAAGTATTTACTATCAGGAACAATGACGAATTCAAGCTTCTTTGTTCGGACTCGCAAGAGCCTTAAACCATCCTATCTCGCCATATTAGCCTTCGTCTCTTCAAAGTAAATTACACGCGCGTTGTAGTACCGCACCTCCTCGTCCATATCACAGATGAATTTTGACGTGTTATTCACATAGTTCCCTATCATATTTGCAAAATTTTCAATTCCTTGAGCCCCAGTTGTGGAGGGAGAAGTCGCTGCTGGAGTAGCGGTAGTGGAATCCGGAAGATTGAAGACACTGGTCTGACCCGAGGAGGCTAGTACCGTCAAAGACTCGCGCTCAATGGCGAGAGTCGCTATCACGGATGACTTTGATGATAATCGTTGCAAGGTTTCCTCAACAACCGCAGGTATTGCAACGATAGAGCTCGAAGCTATATCTGCCATTCTCGTCGATTAAATGCTCCACGGTTGACAGTTAACTTGATTGACCAGCTCTAGATACGACGCCTACGCAGGTCACATCGCGCCATTCGCTCGGCCCACAGAAGCGCTAGATCACAACAAGTTAGAAGCCTCCTCCTGAAAGAAAGCTAACTATAAGGAATTTCAACTGAAGCAACTTACTAGTAGTTCTTAGAATTGTTGCTAATATCACATGATAGCCTCACTCTCGATCCAACTATTTGTTGAAGTTAGATTCCGAACTGAAAAGCTTTATGTTTGTTTGAAATACGTGAAGAAACTAAACAGAAAACAAGAAGCATCTAAAAAATAATCTCTCTGAAAGCTGGAAGCAACCAAAAGATCTCACATAACTATTGGTGTAAGAGTATAATAGAATATAACATTGCTCGTACTCGAAGATAAACGGTAATACAAAAACCGAAGGCCTTCCGGCGGAGTCTTCTACGTCCCTGAGAGTGAACTATTCTCCCAAAGCCGACTTCATTTGGATTGTCAAATTTGGATTATGCTAGCCTACAGTGCAAAGATTAAAAATTCCTATCTCTACCGTTTTTTGCTTCCAATAAGGCCAGACTTAAAGTGAGCTTTACCTCGTCTTCGATACAGCATAGTGCACCCTCTTTTCAGTGATCAATATCCTCATAAACTCGATTTCTATAGTTTAACAGTCTAGGTTATAGCTCACAGAGGTTACATTAATCCCAGAATTTGTTATGATGAGGAATAATTCAGTGTGAACTGCCAACATCTTGAAATTCAGGACAATATGGACCTAAGTGTTAGAAAAGGCATCTTATAATCATATATTATTGAGCAAATAATGAATCCCTAGTTACTAGGTTGTAACAGGTATTCATCCAAGTAAATATCATAGTGAAAATAAGCACTAAATTTCTAGTCACTTACATATTAACAACGTGGCTTCTTGGAGGGCAAGACTGAACACCTGTGCGCGGTGTCCTCTACGAACCTGGGAGTGAAATATTCTCCCAGAGCCAAGTTCAGTCAAATTTCGCAATACCGATCAAGTTGGCCCACGAGGCAATGATTCAAATTACTCCACCATGTCAAGTCTTCACTCCCAAAGAGTCCGATTCATACCTGAGCCTCATCAAGGCTACGAGTACGACCCAGTACATCCTTATTCTAATGATCACACCTCTCGTCGACTTTCTCTGGCCCCAGCCGGTCACCAAATACACGCCCACGTAGATATTTATACCCGAAGGAGGACACAAAGCGTGGCGCACAAATCTGGGAGACTTTTATTTGGGATTGGCGTGAGAGGATTCAGGACAAGTTCACAAGATGATGCAAAGGATGGATACAGTCTCGACGGGCGTGGAATTTTGAATTTTGGCAAGGAGTTTTTACAAATTGAGCTTTGTGCGTGCCAAGACTTTGGTTGCGAGAGTGCAAGCGACACCATAAACACCGCCATGGTTGCATGGTGCGGTGGGACATCGTCTTATTTCGTGACACTTGGCCGGTCTGCCAAGTAGAGTCTGGATAGCTTGGACACATATCCCACTCGACACAGTACATCGCTGGTTCAAATTCAGCAAAACACAACCACATTTCTCGCGGCGCTGGTATGCTTGGATAACAAAGGTTTTGAAACGTCCCTTTGGTGGGTACTTACGGAGGAGGGTTGACTGTTTGTGTAAGCGAACATACCTCATAGTGGTGTGTGTGTGTGTTTATTGTACTACTTGAGTCTATGACTATCTAGTACATTGGGCTCCTCTCTGACCCAGACCACACCTTGTACAGTGCTCCTATTCTCTTTTGTTACTTGTAAGATCATTGATATATTCCCCTTGATGAGTAGCCATTCAGCTCAGTGTTTACCCGTGGAATTCCGCCACCTTTTCCACGGAATCTTCTACCCAAAAAGAATAAAATGGTAGCAATGGAAACTGCGTGCGCGGGAAAAAGTCTCAAAAAAACCTGCAGCCCCAGCCAGGCGAGGCCTAGACACCGGGACCACATGAGGTGCGCAAATTCATCTATATCTCACTTCTTTGTAACAGTCGAGGCCGACTTGATCCAATCCACCATCTCCGTATCGGGTGCTGGGTACGCTCCGGAAACTCATCAGATGGCTTTTCCTCCATGATCGTGGGTTGGTGACGAGAAGGGCTTCGATCCTACCATCTAATCTGATCTTGGTAAGCTTCATGGTAATGGTGATAGGGGAACGTGTTGAGAGATGAAGTCTCAAGGAGTTTGATAGGGCGATATTTCTACAGGGTACGAAATGAAATATTCAGTGGAATCGGGATTAAACGACAACATGTGAGGCGAAGCTTCACTGTGAGAAGTAGAAGAGCCACAGAAAGTAATGCGGTGCAATGGTCTTTCAAAGAAGAGATGAGGTGTAGAAGTAAACGTGTATTTATTTTCAGAAGACATTGTGTGAGGTCTGAATATCCTAATGCTAAGCTTTCTTATATATCTAATTCCATCCAGTTACTCATCATACTTTCCATAATATCATGATTTCCATGATGTAATACTTCCTGCGATATCATACTCTCCCCAACTCGAGGATGGCATCTGCGATCTATTAAATGACGTCAGGATGTTACTTGACTCGAATATGACGTCCGAAGACAGTGCATCTTCATCTCTACTATCAATAACTCATCATGATTGTTCAATCTGTAAAATGAAGACGATACAAACCGCGAAAGCGATTGGGAATCCTCGTCGAAGTGAGGACTTTGTTACTCAATCTCGGCTCTGCAGACTCTACAGTGAGAGCTGGAGGTTCGTAGGGGACACCACTGACAGGTGTTGAGAAAAGTCCCCCTCTGTTAAATCAGAGGTCATGTGCATTCTAGTAAGCGGAATATGTATTAACCTATTGTTATAGGGCCCAAAGCAGTTTGGCAATGCAAATACGAAGTGAGCACATGGGGCTTAACTCGTATTTGCACAGAAGAAACGTACCCGGAGTATTAAGTCCAGGTTGTCCATGCGGCTACCAATCACAGAACCCAAAGCACATGATTATGTCCTGCCCCCAATGGTCAAATGGTAGAGCTGAGATCTGGAGACAAGCCAAAGATCGATCCTATGAAGCGATGTTAAATAATCCTGGAGATATAAAAAGGATAACACAGTGGATCCTAAACCATGGTTGGATAGAGCAATTCCAGATGACAAAAGCGGTCGAAATACTGCTGAGGGAAAGGAAAAGGTCAAATAATGCTGGGGGCGGATAGAGATGATCTGGTTAGTTTACATGGATGGCACTATAGTGTAACTGCGCTTCCTGAAGAAAATATGTGAGGACTATAGACAACAAATAGAAAGGTGTGGGAGGTTTTCACCATAAAGGTTTCCTCCCGGGTAAATATTATAGACTGTAGACACCTGCATGGGCCCATAGGGCGCCAAATCAGGATAATGAAATCAAATTCAAACCTATTGTTATAGTGGTGCGACTTGCGTAATATTCCCTTGGAATCATTAGATGACGCTAAAGGGTTAGAGTAGATAGAGAGCATGAATTATATGTGAATGTTATTTTATCGTTTTATTGAGTATATTTTATTGCCTTTTGTTTATGCGCGTATACCGTATTGTACCATCAGTTTCCCCCTCAAGTAAAATAACTATAAGTAGAGTTTACAGACACCTGCATAGGCCAATAGGGTACCAAATCGGGTTAATAAATTCAAATTCAAGACGGCTTTATGAAGCTGGGCCGAAGTCGTTTGGGCCTGATGGTAGATCAACTGTGCAAGTTTCGGTAATAATTCGAACTAGTTCAAGCGGTTCAGCCCACATGCCTCAATGGCCGGCATTACTGATGGTACAGCGGGGTTCACTTTATTTAAGGCCTCTTTTTTTAAATCATTTATGTAAACGTTATTGGCTCAATCTTGTATTACAACTAAATCACTAAGATTCTCTGTCTAGTTTCAACCAGAAAAACCGCCCTTCTAATGTGTATCTATGCACGGATCACCTTGGATGCCTGCATAACTCCCAGTCATTATATATTACATGACTGCATAACTAGAGCTGACTATACTTAAATATGCATCCGCTCACAATTTAATGTGTATTCAGCTATCTAGCTGTGACATATGACAGGCGCCATGTATACATGTAGGATTACTCTTTTGACGTTAGAGACACTCATACTCTGGATTTCATTCGCAAATACCACTATGACGTATGTTCGCTTACAAAAACAATCGACCCTCCTCCATAAGTACCCACCAAAGGGACGTTTCAAACCCTTTGGTTATCCAAGCTATCCAGACTTTACTTCGCAGACCGGCCAAGTGTCACGAAATAAGACGATGTCCTTATTAATATATAGATTGATCACGAAGCTACAAGAAGTCCAAGAGGACCATTCTACTTATTGTACCTCGCTTATTGTTTATGCTAACGACCTTAGTCAGCGAGGGTTAAACGTGACATAAGGCCCTTCCTCCAATTACAAAAGCGACATAAAGAATGACTCAGTATATGCATACTATTAATCGAAAAGTAAAAATCTAGAGGTTTAGGAGAAGAAAGAAAAATAAAGTATCAGTCATCCAAATCTTGGTCGATCTGCGAAATTGCAGTTCTTTGAACTTCCCTAATGGCTTTTTCTATGTCCTTTTTAGTTAGTTTTTTCTTCTTTGGACAATTTATTTCGAACTCTTTAATAGCTTTGGAAGCAAAAATGAAGTTCTTTAAAGGCTCCCAGGTAATATCTGTGGAATCTCTCCACTTAATCCGTTATTGGTATTCTCCTTTGTATCTTCGGCAGTCAAGGAGTTTTTCGGTTGCCCAGAGCTTTTCTCCGTAGTCATCAATCATAATAGCCCTATCCTGTGTAACACTTTGTCCGGGAAACATCTTTATTGGTACTGGCTGAAGTATGCTGGTATGAAAACTGTTATCGATTGACTGCAGCTCTGCGGGGAGCTCAAGACGATAAGCATGAGTACCTAGAAGCGATTTTATCT